AATATTATCCCACTGTTCAGGCAACGTGTTGCTCAGTTTCTGAACATTTTCAAAGATTTGCAGCCTCATGTCTCATTTCATGAACATTTTTCTCAATGTTTTTTGGTGAAATGTGTGATTTAAGTTGCCAAAAAGTTTATGAAATTATGACTCCATCAAACCGAAGGGCAATAAAGAACCAGAATAAAGTTAATTAACAATATTTATTGTTACACAAATAAGAGGGTTTAACTTTATCCATTCGTTGTCAAACACCACTTCAGGCGGACAAACCCGCATAAACCACTGCAATGTTCACTGCAAGCTTAAGATGCACTCAATTCACTGCAGAATGATGACATGCAACCCAAACTCAAACTCACACCAAACAGGTTCGGGTCTCAGATATTTAAGATTAACAGCGACATGGAAGGTGTTTATTCAGGAAGTGACCCAAAAACAAACGGAGGACAAAACAAATTAAATAAATGGAAAGTTGTTAGCAAGTACTGAGGGGAGACAAACCATCCAAAACTGGGTGGACTAACAAAAAATAAAATCAAACTCTAAAAGGACAGCAGGAAGCAGTGATACAAATATAAAAATTACTAAATGCTTATTAAACCACTTTAATCAAATCAATCTAAAACACTGCATACCTGCCCTCTGGTTTACCACACCGACTCTAAAGCCAAACTTGAAGGATCTGGAGCAGCCCTACCAAATAAAAATCAACAATATAGAAAAACACAGAATTCAATCTGGTTAAAAGAGACAAATGTATAAAGTCTACCTGCGGCGTCGAACAGCCCAGGTAACGGCGCCACCAGAACCTCACTGATATAAAAAGCACAATTTAAAAGAGTTTTCCTCCAAACACACACCTGGTCACACTGAACACTCCACCTTCCTCAGGCTGAGGAGGGAGCGCCACCTGGTGGTGCCACTTGGTGTTGATGCGCAAATAAAAAATATCTAAAATTGACGGATTTTGTGTTTTCTTTTTAAAGCTCATTAACAGACGAAATGGGAGAATACATTTGGCTGAGAGGCGCTAATCGTATTTAGCTGCTCTGAGGGTAAAACGGCTCTTTGACTCTAAAGCTTGAATTCATTTCTGTTTAGAAATGAGTTTTTTTTAATCTGGTTTGTTGTTTGATGTGAATCAGTTCTGCATTAATAAACTGAACTAAAGTTTTCCTCTTACAAAGTCCAACATGAACAGATTCCCAAATGAAAAATGTGAACTTTGACAACCTGAAGGAAGGAAGAAAAATCTGAAACTTTTTCTCCAGTTTTGGTTCCTTTGCGTGTCTGAGATGATGAATCCTGCTCTTGGTCCTGTTTTTTGTCTTAATGTCTGGCATGAAACTGTTTTATTTACCGGCAGGCCGAAGGAGACGCCTTGGGGCATTCGGGGCATTTGTCTATTTTAGTCCAGGATTGCATAACTTGAACATTAAAAACTGGCTGCGGTGAGCAGAGAGGAACCCAACCGGTCGGTCGTAATCGGTTTGTAACGCTGAGCTCCTGCTTGCTGCCTCACAGGCTGGCAGGTAAAATCACAGCCTGCCTGAGTTTCTCTCCATGTCGGCTGAAAGGACCAGATGAGTTTCAGTGGCTTACAAAAGTTTTCACACCCTTGAACCAGAAACAGAAATGTTTGACTGGAATTTAAAGTCCAAAACAAAAGTGGTTTACAAATGTCAGGAGCGTCGCGTCATTCTTTAGACTCCAACAGGTTTTCTCCAACTTCGCCCTGAATTTGGCTCCATCCATCTTCCCTGCTGGAGAGAAGCGGCCCAGAGCATGATGCTGCCAACACTGTACAGTGGGGATGGCGTTCAGTGATTTTCAGTTCTCTCAGCATTGATCGTACACCAGGTGCCAAATTATTACGCAAATTGGATTCAAGTGTCATAAAGATTTAATGTTTGTTCCATGAAACTCAGAGATGATTTTGTCTCAGGACTGTTTGGATCACTGTGATTAATCTCATCACCTGGGCTGACTAGTTCACCAGGTGAGCTCAACTAAAGGAAACTTACTAAAGATCGATGTTCCACATGATCAGTCAAGCTTCAAGCAATATGTGAAAGAGAAAAGATCTCTGCTGAACCGTCAGATAGGAATGAAAACTCAAACCGACGCGTGATCTTCGTACCAAGGAGAGGTTTGTGGCTGATTCAGATGAAGGAACAATGAGGAAAGTTTCTGTTATACAGTCAGGGGGTTCAGAGAGCAGCTGCTGAAATGCCTTTATAAAGCAGCAAACAGTGAAGCTGCTGGTTCTGGAGACCCACGAACCCGAAGCCGTCAGCTCCTCCAGAGGCTGTTCCACGAGCAGGAACAGCTGCGGTGGATCCAGACCGACATGAGACTCAGAGCAGCCCTGGATGGTCCAGATGGACGGAACCACGGCCCAACATGGCTGCTACGGCAGCAGGAGGCGGTGGAGTCATGCTTTGGGGAGAGAGCTGGTCGGCCCGTTTGGCCCCTGAAGGTGTGAAAATGACCTCAGCAAAGTAAACAGACTGTCTGACTGATCACTTTGTTTCATGGTAAGAAGAGCCGGACCTTCTGTAGCAAAATCATCTCCAAGCATGACGAAGCCGCATCTCATGCTGCCAGGAATACCTCTGGCTGCTGTGGGCATGAGGACAGAGAAACTCGGGGCGCGGCGCCTCGCTGCCCAAACCTCCTCCAAACATCTGAGGGAGGAACCAGCTCACATCGGACAGCAGCTCTGGGAAACCACCGACATCCTGAAACAAGTTCAAGCAGAAACAAACTGGATGGAGGAAACGTGACAGAAGGACTTTCTGTAACTTGGTCTGCTGTGTTTTGGATTGAAATAGCTTTTGATTTTAGCACATGTGATCACTTAATGCATTCAAAGAATCAACATTTGCAGTTCTTTATAAGCCACAAAATGATTTGAAAATCTGCTATGAATAACAAAGCATTTTGAGTTTTTTTTGTTCAGTAACATTTATTTATACTCTAATCGTTCATGAAAATTAAACTGATCATCATTTGCTTGGACCAATCAGAAAAATCTGAGAAAATATCACTTCAGGATAATTTGGAACAAAAAGTAAAGTTCAGTTTAGTTCTGGTCTGACCAAAGACCGAGTCCAACATGGCTGCTGGTGGCTAACGGCTAACCAGACTCCTGATGGCTTGCTTTAACAACAGCTGCCTTCTCATGGACAGAGCAACTTGTCAGGTTGCCTGATTGTTGCCATAAGTTCCTGTGGATGACTTGGTCTCCATCTTGGCTCCTTGTTCAGCCTGGAGGTTCAGCTGGGTTTTGACTAGGCCTTGTCTTGGTTTCACTGGGCCAGACTCTTTGGGTTCTGGATGCTGAGCGTTCTGCATGCTCCTCCTTGATGCCGTTTGCTCCAAATATTCTCTGAACCTCTGAGGCGTCACAGATCAGCTGGACTAACACTAGACTAGATTAGACACATAGCCATCAGAATCTCGAGGTTCTGATTTGGTTGTTTTAGTTCTGCTCTCTGTGTTCATCTTCAAATAAGGTTCAAAAAATACAAATAGAGAAAAAGTTTGTATTTCTGCCCTTCAGAAACTGAAACTCATAAATTCATTACACACAGAAACACTTTAAATATTCATTCAGTGGCAGAAGATCAGAAAACGTTCCATAAGATCAGTAAAAATGTTAGACGTCGGGGTCGGGGCTCAGCATGGAGATCCGTCTGTCGCATCGCTCAGGTGGAATAAAATATACAAGTTTCATTTTCTATTAAAAGAGAAAAAAATATGTAGCCACTTTGTTTCTGAGTTGTGCTTACAGTTCAATCAATAATGACAGTTAAAATAATGAGTTAGAATAAATAAGTTTTTCTGTAAACATGAGGTTTACAGAAAAACTAACCCTAACCCTTTCAAACATTGGTTTGAGACCAATGTTTCAAATCCTCGTTATTCCAGACGTGAATCCCTAGAAGTGAACTATGGGGTGAAATTTCTTTCTGATTTAAAGCAGTAACAGTTTGGAGAAATTCACTTATAATTTAATCACCACAAATAATAAATAATTCATTTTCTCTCTTGCTCTCAATCAAGGTGAACGCTTTTTCCCTCTGCTCCCTCCCTGCCCATTCCTGCCCTGTTTTTGTCCCATCTTTTTCTCTTTTTCTATATTTTTGGAGCCTTTCTTTGCACATCCTCCAAATCTATAAATTATGGATCTGGTCAACCGATTTCTCAATGCAATTGATCAAATTTTCA